ATTTAATTATTAAAATAAGTAATAATTAATAATTATAATTAATAAATAAAAATTAATTAATTAATATTTTTAAATACTATTTAAAAAAATTAAAATTTTGATAATATTAATATTTTTTGAGGTGATAATAACAATATTCATGGTCAAAACAAACTCTGACTATTTTTTTTTTTTCGGTACACAAACTCTGACTATTAAGAAAACGCTTGTGAATTTACATATAAAAATGTTTTCTATAGTTTAAAGCTTGATATGTACAAAATTAATCATTTAATCAAAACAATTTTTTGATTTAAGATCCAACCGTGGATTCTCCTTTTGTAACCTAAATTGTGAAACCAAAACTCATTTAAATATAATGAGTTGTTCATCATTTATTAATTTAAAGTTCGATGTTTTTATGAAACTTCATCTGTCAAAGTTAGCTCTTAGCTTATAGGACAATTACGGGTGGTTACGAACACTTATTTGTTTCCTAAGGTTATTTAAATTATGTTTAAAAATATTAATTTTATTTAATTTAATTGTTAAAAAAATTAATAATTAATAGAATAATTGATATTTAAAATATTATAATCATTTAATTAAAATTTTATAAATATTAATTAAATTAAATACTATTTAAGTAGCCTTAATACATGAATACATGGGAAATGAAAATGAAAATCTATAAATTTAAATTAAATGCCGATTAATAGGTTGGATGTCCTTGATTACTATAAATTGAAATTATGACAATTTGTTGCAAAATGAAGAAGATGGTGGTCCAACAAGTTTTTCATAATGTTCGAGCATTCAAAATGTAACTGCTTTTGATTAAAGGATGTGTACCTCGATTCACAAATGCTTCATTTTTTGGGGTAGGTTATTGCATTTAAATTGTTAAGGTTATCTATTTAACTATAATTTTATCAATTTATAATTTTATTTATTAAATAGTTAGTATAATATTTAGAAATATTTGTTTATAAATTAATTTTAATTTATTAAATAATAAATATGAACTATTTTATTAATTATTAATTATTTTTAATAATCAAATTAAAATAAAAATTTAATAATTATTGATAATCTTAATAAACTGAATAGAGACTATAAGGGTAGCTCATTTTTCTACAAAGTTATTGGACCCACACAAGCATTTATTTGACTTGTATCCCATGAAAATTGGACATGGTTATGATTCATGAACATACAAATTTTTTTACTAATACTATTTTTAAAAATACTAATTTTATTTAATTTGATTGTTAAGAACAATAAATAAATGTAGTTGTTTGCTTATAAAAACAACTAAATTTGTTATTCTCTCTTAACTTTAATAGTCATTGTTTAAAATTTGGACCTTTTAGACATAAATTTCAAATAAAAATTTATCAACATATATGATTCATAATTGAAAATTTTCTCCTTTTTTATGTAATTCTTATTGAATAATTTTATTTAATAAAAGAACTCCATACTAAATATAATGATTCAGCTTGCTATTGATACTAGGTCTGCTTAAGCCCCTTGAACCTCACGATTTTAAAATACATTAATAGGAGGCAAGTGGTGTTAACTTACATAACAAGTATCTTTCAAGCACTTTGTTGGTGTAGGATGTCACTTACACCCCCCTTTTAAGACTCATGGTCCTTGATCCACACTGAGATTTGCCCCACCATTGTTCAAGAGGACATGATAAATGAATTTGATATCATACATAATGACCCAGCTTGCTATTGATACTATCTACTTTGATCTCACAGTCTTACAATGTATCAATAAGGGATAACTAATGTTGACCTATATAACCAACATCTCTACTATACTTTGTTAATGTGGGATTTGCGTAGGAGTATCACATGCATCCCCTTTTGGGACTCAACATCCTCATTGAGATTTGCACTATCACCATGTAATAAGACCTATGGAGTGATTCTATACCATATGTAATGTTCCAACCCGAATTAATACTGTACGCTTCAAGTTTTTAGATCTGATGATTTTAAAATGTGTCAATAAAGAGTAACAGATATTGACTTATATATTCAACATCTTTCTCATGCTTTGTCAATGTAGTGTTTGACTAGAGGTGTCACAAGCATAAATATCAATTAAACCACACGTATATTATAGTAAGAAAAGTGTTTTTCAATACAAATTGTATTTTTTTTTTTACAATTTAGGTATTAAAATTATAAAAATACTATTAATAAATAAGTTTAGAGGTTTATTTCATTAAAAATATTTAAATAATTTGAATACTTAAATTACACAAAAAAGAAATATAATCCATATTGAAAAACACATTTTCGTATTATAATTTTGTGTAAGTTTAACTCCCCACTCCACTCCACGTGAAACTATTGCCGTAACTTTCGACATGGCCCAACCTGAAGCAACCTACAAATTAAGAAGCCCAAAAGCCCATTTTCTAACGATTTTCTTTCTTCTTCACAGAAATTTTGGGGTTTCTGTTCAGGAAGCAGAAGCTCTGCAGCGTCACCGACGACTCGCCGTCGTCATCATCGCCACCGGCGACTACTTCCATCGTCTCATCGAGATTGCTTACTGAAACCCACTTCGCTTTCATGGAGTTGTTCATCTCTATCAATCCTGTCACTGTCTGTCCCTCTCAATCCCTCTCAGCACATGGTATGCAACTTCGCCCTTTTCTTCTTTGTTTTTTCTAGTCTTCTGTTTTTATATTTTACAAGAATGCCAATTTTTGTTAGATGACTAATTTATGTGAATCTTATACTAGGCAGTTTGTATTCGGATAAATAATTAATATAATTATATTTAGATACCCAATCTTTGATTATCATTGCATAAATAAAATGTAGATGAGTAATCAAGTTCGACTTTTTCGATTTTTAGAGTGGAGAAGGTTGTTTGTGGATGTCATCATGGTAGAATTTGGGGCAAAAAAAAAAAATCATGAGAATTGAATGATGGGAGGCATTTCTTCTTAATGTGGTTAAGAAATTAATGAAGGTAAGTTTTTGACACAAGATAACAATGTTGTGACATATGTAGCTTATTGTATCAATCAAGGGTTTTAGACTTTATCTGCCATGGATGGATACTTAGACAGTAAGTTCTTGACTTGGTTATATACCAATTGAATTGGCCTTCAAGAAAATGGAACCTTCTTTTGGTCTCAAAATACCTCCAGGAAAATTCAACCATATTATGCATCTTACATTATCACCTTTAGCTGTTACGCTAAGCTTCAACAGCTGCAAATTCTTAAATTAATTAATGGTGGTTTTGTTTTGGATTGCGAATTCTTTCATGTCAATGACATAACGCTTAAAAAAAATCACTTTGATTACGATTTATAGCCCAATCAAAATGCTCCAGGGGTCTTGGTTTTGTTTGTACAATCTTGATTTCACTTGCGTATACCAATACCAACTATTTGATTTATGTTGTCAGAAATCCACCATTCTAGCTACCGTGACAGGGAGATCTTGAGGTGAGCTTGCAAAACGTCCTAACAGGAAATAAGGAAAACAAAGAACAGATCGGGACTTGGGTGGTAGCAAAGTGATACCAGTTGTTACCACGAATGCCAAAGAATCAAGGTAAACATACAATACATTACCATCACTTCCTGATGAAAATGCCTGTAGGTTTTACCAAAAAACTGATTACTGAGAGGTCGTCGGAGGCTGATTTGTTCTGGTTTAATTATGATCTACGTTATGGCTTTCCCCTGTTGAATTTGGACTCAATTACTGGCAATTCTAACTGCTCGCGTCCTACTTTGTATTCTAAGATGAATGGGGATTAGATCATTATAGCCCTAGGATGAGTGAGTCTCATATTGGATCCCACTCGCCTAAAGGTCTGCATTTTATAATCCAGTGCAAAACCATTTTTGATCACTTTACTAGATCTTCAAATTGCTGTAAATATGGCAAGCGTAAACCCTTTGTAATTGAATCTCTCTTATGACAAAAAATAAGAAGAGAATCTTACTACTTCTCAGGTTTGCAGTTAGATGTTTGGGTTCTATTATTTCGCTTTTCTCTGGATGATTGACCAGAAAAAGTTGAAATCAGATGCTTCCAATTAGTGAAAGTAACATTATTTGATATCATTGCCATGAATCTTGTTATGAATACAAAAATAGAGGCAGGGGCCTTCTCATCACAGACTATAACCTGGTATAAAGAAAGGGAAAAGCAAAAATACTAATGTTCGATGCACAAGATCCTCCTACAATAATTTGGCGCAAACACATGGCATCCCTTGCAAGAGATAATGATATCAGTGGCTGAAAAGAAAGTTGGTATCAAATATTCTTTCATGCCAGAGCACAAAGGCATCAAAATATTCGATTCTCTAAAATTTCATAGATAAGATTGTCACCTCCACTGAATTTGTTCTCAATCTCTGATAGAGTAGCAACACCTCTAGGCAGTGGCCTGCGGACACCAAATAACTATGTATGTAAAACAAGAAAGTAGGATGTACAGAAATAATTACTAGGTTTACATCCCAAAGTTTTCCATTCTAAACTTCAAAAGGCTATGAATAATTTCAATAAAACAGTTTCCCTCCTTTTTCTCCCCTATAACAATTACATAGGCATGAAGTACTGTCAACAGTCATAACTATTTAATTAAATCCCATTTTGGTCCTTTTACTTTAACAAAAAAAAGTCTCTTTTTAGTACTTCTACTTAAGAAAGTCCCTTTTCCCTTTTTAGTCATTCTGTTATCTTTTTACACGTGTTGTATTAAATGATAAAAATTCCAAAATAGAGGGACTAAAAAGGAGCTTTTTTAGTGCTTCTACTTTGGAAATTTCATTATCTAATGCGCTTCATCTGTAAAAAGACCATAAAGGGACCAGAAAATAAACTTTAAGAACTAAAAAGGGACTTTCTTAAATAGAGGGACTAAAAAGGTGTTTTTTATTAAAGTAGAGGGGCCAAACTAGGGTTTTAACCTAACCATTTACTGGAACTGGTTTTCAGGAAAGCACTTCAGTTATATGGAAAGGAAATCGCATCCAGGCATAGGAAAACTGGTTAACTAAGGTATAATGATGGCATTTAATCTCTAGTAGATCAATCTTATGGTCCGAAGCACACACTATTAAAAGTGAGTGGGTGATATAATTAAGACAAGATGTACACAGCATTAATTTACGTAACAAAAGCATCTAAATTCCTTTTCCTAAATATATTTTACAATCATAAGGGGCATCTAGTGAACAGCACAACTATAGCACTTTACCTTCTCATCTTTTGGGGTAAAGATGACTTTAACATCCTCAAACACATCTTCAACGGGCTTTGCAGCATCAATCTAAAGGTTAAACAACAAATTTACAAGTTGAAATAGTTGTGCAATTTGCAAATCATCTAGAAAAAGAAAAAAGCTAAACAATTTAAGTAACAACCATTTACCTCTCTAACTTTCTCCTTGGCTTTATAATATTCAATGACAGGAAGACTGGACTCCAGAAAGACTTTAAACCGCTTCCTTATTGTCTCAATGTTATCATCTTCTCTTCCCTACATTATCCACACACATACATACAAAATAATAAATTAAACAACAGAAATTTCAAGAGAGAGAGAGAGCACAATCTAACCTGATTTCTATTCAGAAGGCGCCTCTCCATTTCTTCTTCAGGACAATTGAAGAACAGAACAAATGCTGGCTCAATTTTGGTCTGCAGAACCATCATGTTTTGGGAATTCAATTAGAAAACGTCAAAACTCCTAAAATTAACTACAATAGCTTAATAAACTCTGCTAAGAGGTCTACATAAGGGAATGCACATTCAAGCTGAAATAATGGATGGGAAAAAAAGGATCATAGAAAACTTACAACAGCTTCAAACGCTGCACGGTTTTCCTCATTTCTAGGGAAACCATCAATAAGGAATTTGTCATTACCACTTTCCTGCATTGCTTTCTGAAGAAGCTTAATTGTTACCTCAGAAGGGACAATCTTCCCTTCTTTGATCATGTTTTGAATCATGGTTCTGTAGGCCACAAGAAAATTATGTATTTATCACAATGGCATTGCAAGAGGAAAATCAATTCAACTGACAATTGGAAATTAGAAGAACCCAGTTAAGGGTAGGCAGGAAAACTTTAAAATATCATGCTGATGAGAAATTAAACTGAATTAATACTGATCTACACATCGGTTCACCACTTCAACATAAATTTCATATCATCACAACCCCAATTAACATGACAATAAACCCCAGGAAATAGTCAAATAAAGATATACTAATTCCACAACTGAATTGCATCAGATAGCAGTGCTATAAGATTAAGTTATATATGTACAGTTTGATTGATGTCTACAGATTTATTTTAACATGTGTCATACCCATTCTCAGAACCAGAACTGATTTCAGCTCGGAGAAGATCTCCAGCACTGAGATGTGTATAACCAAAATGTTGGACAATATTTGCACATTGGGTACCCTTTCCACTGCCTGGTCCACCTGGTTAGTCAACAAAATCACCATATTAAGAAAAGAGTGGCAAAAATTTTTACAGAACTGGTTGAAGGACTACATATGAAGTTGGTGTCTTATATATTTAAGTGAACCAAATGCTATGTGATACTGACAATTTCAAGAGGGGCTGAAAATATACAAGAAATGTGGCTTTGCAAATAATTAAACATCCCCTTAAAACATCTTGCACAAACATCATGAATTCAACAATTCAACAATTAACAAGATGCTTACCCAAAACAAAAACAACAGTAGGCTTTTTCTCAGTTAAGCTACCATTTGCCTCCTGCAATCAAATGTTTTAGTCATATATATTAATGTTGAGGGAAAATCCATGTCAGTGAAAAAGAATGCTTGCGGTAAAACCCAACTTCCAAAAGTAGGAGAATTTAGCAGATTAATATGCGCAACATGAATGCCGCATACTGACCACTTCTCTATTTACTTTACATAAGTTCCACAACACTTTCTATTTTGAACAGGCACCCCTTTCAATCAAGCAATTACAGTTGTTAAAAATACTAATATAGAATTTCATCAAAATAAAATAATATTATAGAACTCAAGAGTCAGGCCACAGATCATGCATGTAAAACAGGGTCAATGATCATGCCATCAGAATAAGGTTCTGAAAAAAATTACTTTGCTTGCAGCCTCAACAGTCCCCATGAGCACAAACTAAACTCTCCGAGAATGTCTGATCTGCACATATCCAACACACAACCATTCAAAAGTAGCTAAATGCATACATAATCATTGAACCTTCAGATGTCCCATGGGGATGACGAAGACTCATTGTGGATGAGGGACATCGTGATCCTTAATAAACTAACCCACTGTCTTATATAAACAAAACGCCAATCTCCCATTCATCCTTAACACAGTGCCTAAACAAATCATTAATAATGCCAGAATCAACTCAAATTCTGCAAATTTCTCCACAGAACAGGATAGACCTATAGAATCTTGAGCTTACATTATCATTCTTAACAAAGCAAGAATCTTTAGGATCATGAGCACTACATCAAACGTGATCCCGAAGATTGAGATCATGCTCAGCAAATCTAAAACACTAAACAACTCGATCTAACAAAGATCCAACCTCTAATCTCACAGGAAGAAAAAAAAAAAAAGAAAAAAAGAAAAACCATGTCTCAGATCCAAGCAGAAAAATTCAAGATATGATCTGATTGCAAACTAAAATCAAACAGCAAAACAAATTCAAATTTCAGAATTGTAATGAAAACCAAGATAGATTCCTTCACCAATTGAACAGAGATTGCGCCAGAGAAAGACGGAGTTTGAAAGCTCACCCCTTTTTTTTTCTTTTTTTTTTTGAAGGAACGGAGGGAAACGAGACCTGAGTGCCGGAGTCTGAGAAATGGGAGCAGTGGGAGATGCTTAAATACAGAAGTTATGAACTTCTCCGAAAAATGAGCGTTTTTGTCGGTATTAGGGATATTTTGAGAAATTCATTGCCGCGTTCAGGTGCCTAATTTTAACAGCTAAATATACCCCCTATTCCTTTCATAATTACTTCTGTAGTGCAGTGCTAGGGACACTCGCTTCCTGCACTCTCCGGCCAACACTGCCCTTTTCATTGGGCCACGTTGTTTTAGTTGACCAACACTGCACTTCAGAGTTTAAAACAGCCTTACGTGGCCCAATGAAAGGGGCAGTGTTGGCCGGAGAGTGCAGAAAGCGAGTGTCCCTAGCACTGCTCTACTTCTGTATCCTAATCGATAAATCGTGACAAAAAAAATTAAAAAATTAAAAAATTAAAAAATTTTAATCTACTAAGAATTTGATAAAAAAAAATTGCCTTAAATAACTTACAAATTACAATCCACTCTCAATTTAAACTTTAATTACTATTCACTAATTATAAACTACTACATACAAGATTTTATCGGACATTTAATTTATAATAATTTTAAATAAAGCAAATTATCCAAATCTATCCTAAAAATATAATGACATGAACGGATTCATTCCCAAACAAGAAAACAGAAACAAATTCATCTATAAAGTTTTTGATTTGGGCAAATCACCTCAAATTTAACTTGTGACATCATTTGACATTAACAATATGTTAATTTGACATTATCTAACATCAACAATCCATTAATTGATTAACAGATTGTTAATATTAGATGATGTCACACGTTTAAACTCGAGATGATTTATTCAAGTTAATAATTTTATAAATAAATTTATCTTCATTTTTTATTCAAGAGTAGATTTATCCCTGCCATTATACTTTAGAAGTGGATTTAAATATTTTGCTTTTTTTTTTTAAATAACAAAAACTTAAATAACTTAATGATGATCTCTTTTTATTAAAAATAAAAAATCTTAAAAATAAAAAATCTTGAATTTAAATAACATAATATACAAATAAAATGAGATAAAAAATAAAAAATAATTATCTTTTATTATATAATCAAAATAAAATAAATAAATAAATAAAATTACCTAACACTTATTCTTCGCTATTTAAACAAAACTATTACCTATCACTTCTACACCGCAATAATAAATTAATCCCTACAAATCAAATGACTTTATCCTAAATTTTTTTTTAAAAAAAATTTTTTTGTGACGGGGTTGTTTCTTCCGTACCTCGCTGACGTCGAAAAATCTCGCCTGAAGTCATGATACAGTTGTTTGGATCAGAAAATCGACTATTACGTCGAAAACATTTTGAGATTTTTTTTTTCAAGAACATGAAAAACAGGTTTCTTCCATGGTGATACTACCCAATTTGAGATGACAATTTTCCTCCATGGCTGTAGCATGTGCCAGTGAGAGATCCAGCTGTGCATATTTCTTGACTTGGGTTAGAATTCAAACTGCAAAGAAAAAGAAGTTCTGCCCGTGACAAAACGTGAAACACCATTAGATTAAACATATCAATCACAAGAATCCAGTATATTGGTCCAAGCGACAGTAATATAAAGAATTATGTATACAAACATGAATCTAAGCTGTTAACAATTCATATGATCAATAGTATGGATTAGTACTCAGAACATGAGGTAATCACCGGGCCCATGATACTGAATCAATCTCATCCCTTGCAGCCTTGTATAATTCCAGCCTCTTTGCACACTGTTGTCTCCTTTCCATCAAGGCCGGGTCCTCATCTAACAACTCAGAGAGCTGCTTAGCCTGAAACAGATGGAAAAACAAGATTCAGTATGTCGGAAGGAATAACTATGCCAACTGACAAGCGAAGAGAATAATTGGTGGAGTCAAAATTACCTCTTTCTTCCCTATTTGCGTGTAGAAGTAATTTAGCAGTGATTGTTTGGCTTCCCTAACCTGACAGTATACCACAGCCTTTGGGATTGTGTTCCTGAGTGTCTCAGACACCATATTCACATAAGAGGATACATTTGAACCTATCCTCCGGAAGTGGCTCTCTGCATAACGGTCTGTAGTTGTGGCAGCAGCAGCAGCATTTCCTCCTTTCTCTACTTCTTGGGGAAGCCTTCGGAAGAAATCAACTGTTAAATATGAAGATTCCATATCTACCAATCGAATTACTATCTTCCTACTTTCCTCCCGAAACCTCTCCAAGGCCTCATTAGCAGCTGCTGCAATTTGAGCTTGCAAAGTTGGAAAGCGCTTTAATTCCTGTTTTTGCACGGATCAGGAAATCCTAATGTTTAGCACTGCACACACTTGAATAAATTATGCTAGAATAAAATAACAATTAGAAATATCCCTAAATTTTACCTGAGTTTCTCCTATTGACTTCCGTACAAGTTCTTTCAAGACAAAGTGAACCTACATCATAGCACAATCTCTATGTCAGCTAAAATTTTGGTGATAACATATTCTGAGAGTGATATAAAAACATTAACGTCTTACAGCATCTACAGAAGCTTCAGCTGGGCCTCTGAAATAATTTAATGCACCATCAATAAGCCTTCGGTAACCTTGCTCAGGAGCAATCAAGTGCGGTTGATAACCATCTGCCTCTGAGACCACTCTCTTCACATTTTGCGGAGAAAGATGCCGATCAAATGGAAGCTTTCTCAGAGCAGCAGGAAGCTGGTTGTCAAAGACTCCATAAATACGATCACCTCCAGGTCGCCTAAGAAACCGAAATCCAATGGATTTTATCAGGACAAAAGCACTCCAGAACAAAAAAACTTATGAAGTCTCAGAATGTTTACCCTCCATCAAGATGCTCCTTGAATATGCGATCAAATGCACGACAAAGTTCCAATATGGTGTAAAGTTGAGCCTACAATACAACATCACAGTTATGTCCAACAACATAGAGCATCTTTCCTAAGGATAATAAGAAAGTGGTGCTACTCACCCCTGCATCAAGAGCAATAGGCCTACCAAGATGGTCCATCTCCTTTTCTAGTTCTTCAATGCTTTTGTTAATCAAGGACGTGATACTTGGTATCCGAGCTCTAATTACAGACTCTAGATGCTGCAAACAATGTCACATCATCAAATTCATGTCTGAAATAGCACAACCAATACCAAACTGCAGGTTACTCAAAATCAAACCTGTGAGAGGAGTTTTGCAAGAAACTCAGAACCCATTTTACTTGCTAAGTGACCATAGTCAGGACTAGTTGCAAAATATTCCCGCTCCTTGCGCCTAGCCATGATCATGTCAACATTTTTGTTGATATCAGCCTGTGAACGGTTCACAATTCCAACCCATGGGTGCTGCAGCCGGTAAGCTCTCCCTTCAAGGACCTTAAAAGCAATAAAGCAAATAAAAGGTCATTTTTATTCTCCAAAGAATGAATGGAACGACATTCATCCAAAAATCAAAATCTTAGCAATGACAAAGTATTTTGGACCACTTTTATATAAACAAGTATAACATTTGAATATAATTCTACTTTCCATGCCATCCAAATAGTCCAACATAGCCTTTTTATGTTCTAGGACGCTCAGCCAAAAAAAAGAGGAAAGAAAGAAAGTTACTGTGAACAACAAAAACCATTCATAAAGATAAAAAGTGTATTCACATGCTTGTAGAGAGAGAGAGAGAGAGCTTACATCCAATGCATCAGTTCCTTTGTCCATCAGGTCCAGCTTAGTAAGGACACCAAACGTTCGTTCACCTGAAAAAAAGTGAAATAGTAGACTTCAGAAAGGAAGTTTAAGCCAAAGCAAAAGTGTCTTCCAAAGACATACGCTTTCTGTGGCAAAATGGTTGATAGCTACTATATACCTGTGGGATCTACTTCCCTGGAAAGCTTGATAGCATCTGAAGTTGCTATATCTTGGTTGGCTGGAGATATAGCTAGTATGATGCAATTAGGCTACAAAAAGGACACTGTGAATTAAACACGAAGAAAGTACCATAGTATAAACAAGTTTAGTTAAAATAACATTGATTATCCACATTTTCTAGCAGTCAGCACATACACGAATATCATAAAGCATACCAAGATTTTAGTTAAATTTTTTAAAATACTAAGTAATTATCATGCAGTCTTAATTGAAAATAACTCATCAAGACCTTTCCTGATAGCTGGAACAACAGGTTTCAGGCCATTTGGAGAGAAATTTCATCTTGAAACAACCCTCATCTTTTACTAAAGAAAGATAAAGCTTGAATGAATACCTTATCAACATAAGATCGAACCATGGTTTCAATTTCTTGAACAATACTTTCAGGCTGTCCCTCTGAAAAGAATAATTGCCTCTAAAATCATGAGCGGAATATGAAAACCAAAACCATGTATAGTTAACATTCATAATAAACCATTCAACTAGAGACACATACCAACAGCAACTTTTGTCAAACCCGGCAAATCAATCAGTGTTAGGTTGACAACTGCCAGCCAAAAACAAAATTGTATTAGGACAACTAAAAAAAAAAAAAAAAAATCAGCTCTAAGTAAAAAACATATGATGATTTTGATAACAGACCATTTGGAGAGTAGATACTGAGATGAATAGGAACAGGAGATATCTGTTTTGTCTTCCCAGTTAACCTATCGGTTTCATCCTGAATTTCTTTACGGACAAGTGCTGCACCAGGAGAAAGCTATCAGAACAAATACCTTATGAAGAGAAAATATTCCACAAATCCAAGCTAAAGTTTCAGTTATTTATATCTATTAATTTTTTTTTTTAAATTGTTTGGCTGAGGGTAGTAAGGAAGCACATTTTAAGCATACAACCTCAGTAGGAGAGCTTTTCGAAATTTTTGCAATTCTAGGCATCAAAACATGAAGCTAAGGTGTATAGTAAGCATGTAATAATATTTGGAGAATTGAAGAGAGTGTACATACAGAAATCAGTGAATCTTCTCTTGGGTAGGTGAAGAAACTCAGCATACTCCGGTGATCCTTCGTCGGTCTTATGAAGCTGCAACACCAGTGGCCTTCTCGTCACAATTCCTGCAACAATTTTAAAAAAAAAAAAAAACAAAAAAAGGGACCTCAATTAAGTATGGAAAGAAAGGTAACCAAAGAGAGGCCAATTTCAAAATCACTGTCCAAAATCCAATACAAGAAAGAAAATAGAAACAAATTCTCACCAGCGATATCCAATACGAGAGAGAAAATAGAAACAAATTCTCACCAGATCCTCTGGGAAGAAAGTCTCGGCCAACTATGCTCTCCAACACAGAAGATTTCCCCGAACTCTGTTACCATTTGGATAGAAAAATAAAGCAAAAGACGAGAAAATATTGAGTAGCAGAAGCGAAACCCTTGTGGAGAGGTGGAAAAGAGAGAGAGAGAGAGAGAGAGAAGAAGATTAACCTGGCCACCAACGACGGCGACAGAGGGAAGAGCCTCCCAAAGGGAAGAGAAAGTGTTATCGTCGCCACCGTAGTCTCCAAGCACAGTACAGGCCCTCTGGATTCTATTAACCAAGCCAATCAAGCTCTCCATGGTCGTCATCTTGCCGGAGATCAAGTAGAAGCAGAGAAATGCTTAGTTCGTTTGAGCTTATAAGTTTCTATTGTTGGAGAGCAAGACAACCCCTGGGAATCGGAGGAGAAGAGAGGAGAAGGAAGGTGACTTGAAACGGACGCGAGCAACGACAATGGGTAGTGGAGGTAAAGCGGAGAAAGAGAGAAAATAAATACTTTTTTACTTTGGGAAATAATAATAAATACAAATAAAGTTAATAAGAACATAGTAAATGATTTTTAGAATATGCTTTTTACACTTTAAAATATCAACATGAGATTATAAAAAGATAAAAATAATTTTAATGTATCAAAATTAAGGGTGTAATTTCTTTTTTTTTATTAAACTGTAGTATGATATTAAGGCTATATGAATATTTATTAATTAATGATATTTTAAATTTAATATTTTATAATTTAAATTATAAGATAAAATATTAATTGTTAAATAATTATTATAAAAATCTTTTATTATTTAATAATCAATATTTTACCAATTAAGCACCGAAACCAAGGATGAGTTTCGAATTCTCACCTCAAAAATGGTAACATGTTCAAAAAATATTTTACAAATTAAAATTACGAATTTTTTTTTTGTTTTTTTGTGATATTTTATGTTTTTTCCACTCTAGAATAATATTTGTTAAAAAAATTCTCAAATAATAAGACATTTTAGTGAAATGTTGGTGTCAACCATCGAAAAAAGACTTGTTATTGCTCCATTACAATAATAATATTAATAATACACTAATATTACTATATACTAGGTGGTATTTCATTATTTGACCGCATTGAACTTTTAAAATTTGGTTAAAACCCCTTTTTGGTCCCCGAACTATTGTACGGACCCCCGATTTAGTCCTTGAACTAAAAAAATCCCTGATTTGGTCCCTACTGTTTACCCATTTTACCCCAACTTGGTCCTTCCGTTAAAAATATGGTGAGGTGTCCAGTTAATTAGCTGA